CACTTAAAAACGAATCGCTGCACGAAGTAGCAGCAGTGACAGCCTTTGTGCTCGAAACTTGAAATGCAATGTCAATGTCCTCGTCTATTAGACGTTTTCGCTGAGGGAAATGTCAGCGATTGAACGTGCAGCGGAGTGTTGATCGGAAATCGATTCGAGCGAACGACATAATCTCGTCTATACAATTCGATATTACAGCTGATCATTAATTTTGTGCGAATATTTCACATATTAAGTGCATTTTAAAATGTCATAATGTCAAACATTTCTGTATTCAAAGATTACTATGATGCAAGGTTACGGTATTGGATTTTTTGCAAAAATTCTAAAATAAATTGAATGCTTTTATTTAGATTGTATTTCTATTGTAGGTTTTATACACACACACGCACGCACGCACGCACGCACGCACGCACGCACGCACGCACGCACGCACGCACGCACGCACGCACGCACACACACACATATGTTACTTATATTTGTGCTTTAATTTCTAGAATAAGAAATTGTGCTTTAAATATAATTTATTTAGCATCAAAATATTTGAAATATTACTTTAATTTCTACATATTAAAATTAGTGAATTGATCTTTCGTTTTAAATAAAGAAAAAATTTCGCATCTTCGCGAACGATTTAAGATCGAACCGTTTAAATGCATTGTTAGCTTTCTTTATTATCCTTGGCTCGTTATTCACTTGATGAGAGAAAAATGATGTCACGTAAATCGTTCTTAGCCTTGGACGCGCATAATAATAAAAGATCATGTAACGAAGGGCAAAGAGAGCGACGAGAAATAACATCCCGACGGCTTTAGGTGGCGAGAACGGACGAAGACGTATCGATTATCCTACTCGACTTTGCGCAAACGAGACCGCATCGCGGCGCGAAACGTGATCGAAGATAAAACCACGCTTCTGTCCTAGACGGAAAGAGGGAGTTCGAGTCTTCGTTGTGAAACTTTTTTCCATCCTTCGAGAATAAAACTCCGGGGACGACTTAATCATCGCGATGGGTGGATCACGCGAACAGGATAAAATGCTGTCCACCCTTCTCGACCGTGAATCTTTCGCGGATAGGAGACTGGTAGGATGTCGGTAAAGGATCGAAGTGTCAACCTTTGAAACTTTTATGCGTGTTCACTGTATATTCGAGATTTTTCGTGTGATACAATTAAATGTACATTTAAACGAGTAGGTTACTTTTTCATTCATAAAAATTTAACATCTCCGAGGTATTTAATTTTCTAATTAATTCTGATTACTGTCAGTCATCTCGATTTATTTTAGAAAATTTATCATATTTTATATTTAATTATTAAAAAAATAATTATTTTAAAATATTTGATGGAACCAGAAACATGGTGTGTATATATATTATATATACATATAAAATCGGAAGTAGCATATCCTGGGAATATGGCGGGAATTTTGCCGGAAGCGGAAAGCAATTCCATTCTTCCGCGTCGCGACCACTCGGCAAATCATCGACAAAACCGAGCGTCCTTCCTTCACATCCTTTCCTCATGAAACTCGTCCACCATCCCGACATGTTCCGAGTTTCTCAGGTCATATTTTTGACAGGAAAATTGCATTTTGCCAGAACAATGCATATCGAAGTAAATTTCATATAAATTTACATAAGTTTGTTTTCAACACAATTGTTTTATGTAAAAAAGGTCATGTATAAAAATAGAATATTGCTTTGTTTTTTTTTTAAAAAGAGCTGTTCTGAAATTTAAGATAAGAAAGCATTTTTATCGATTAATTATTTTCATATATCGAAATACATCTTTAACAGAGATGTATGCATTTGCATTTTTTTTTTAATATAAAAACCGATTAATGTAGCGCTTGAGAGAACTAAGTTTGTACGGGAAATATTTACATAATGTCATATTTGATAATGGCAGTATGTAGATACAAACATTTGGTTGTTTTTTTGAACTATAATATAAAAGCAGCTTTTTCAAAATTATTGACATGCAGAATAAAAATGCACTATAATTACAATATACCGCTCTCGCTTTATTATTTCCATATGGAGCAGCAGAAATAACGGTGTAACAAGCTAACAGCAAGAAGCCTTAATCGATTAATCACTCTTGTTTTTACTGTAAATACCTCGCTTCCTTCTGCACACACGGTGCCCGCAGTTAGACAGTTAAAAGAGAGTTAAGAGTTAAGTTCCAACATAAAAATAAAAAAAAAAAAAAAAAACAAAAAAGAGTTCGCCGCGCGTCAGTCGACGACATTTTTGCATCGTTTCACCTGGTTGTCCGCGCATCGTGCTCGTTGCACGCACGCGAGATCCAGAAATCGCGTATGAGTGCTCGCCACTTTTATGCCCGTCGCGATAAAATAATAAACCGCATTTGCGGTATCGTGGTATATCGCGGCTGTATGGTTGCGCGAGTTTCTCGCGTTTCGAAATGACGTCTCGTTTCGGCCGCCCGCGTAACGAGGGGGCTGAAAAACCCGCGCGGTTTCCTACCATCGTCAAACCGTATGCTGTAATAAACAGACGAGCCGGATGAGGGACGCACCGAATTATTGCCACACCGGCGAGTTCTGTGGGACCATTTTGTACAGACGACATTTAGAGCATTTCTTTGCGATTATAATGGCGTATAAATGTGTGTTCCGCGGAAAGTATGATTCGCACACAATAATGGAATTTTCTAGATAAAACGGATCGGAATTATTCTTCCTGAAGAGAACTCGTAAAATATTTTTCGTATAATAGCAAAGATATTTCTCAATTTATCATCTACTTATATCTCGATGAGTTTTTTTAACAATCTCCTACAAATTCCATTAGGAGATTCATTTTCATTCGCTTGCATATAATTATTACTATTTTATAGCGTAATAAATGCATCAATCAATCAAAGCAGGCAATAAATTAAGAAAATCTACATTATTTGTCATGTTAAATTATGGTTTGGATCGGCGTAAATCGAGCTACATCATCTGCGAGTTTTGTATTACAATATTCAGAATTCTTTTGATTTGTAAATACATCTACATGTAAAGTGTAAATATTACAAATGCAGGTTACGAGTGCAACAATGTTACACTCGTAATGTAATGTAAGAATTAATTAATAACTATGTGTATAACTTCCATAACTATATGAATTATTAGTACAAGTAAAATGCCTATGTGAGCCTCCGCGGTTGTTAGTGCCTGAATTATATATTCATAAGATAAGATATAATTTGCAAACCAGTTTGTACTCGACCTCACTAATTATCGCACTAAAAAGGACTCAAATTTAGAATCAAAACGTCTGCAGTTAACTTCATTTGGTACATTCAAATTATTTGTGCGAATTATATAATTGATGAATATATAATTTATACACTAACAATCGTAGACTCACACAGGCATTTTACTTGTACTAGATTTACTTTTGGAGTCACGAATATTGTTATATTAATTTAATTCATTTTAATATGAATTTCTATATATTAATCGTTAAATTCTTTTCTCGATGCGAACACGCTGTTATAAATTTATAATATTAAATTATACTCAATTTGAAATTATTTTTAATAATTCTATAAATTGCCACTGCTCTTATTCAATATGTCGTTAATTAAAACAATAAAGTTAAACAATCGAGAAAATGTATTAAATTTGACTGAAATTTAGTTTATTATGTATTAAATACACATACGTTAATATAGACGTTTACTTTAAAATTAACTAAAGACATAGATTGATTTACATTTTAACACACATGAAAGTTAAAACTAACAAAAATGTTATTTAACTTACGGACTGGGTTACCCCATTACTCCTTTGACATCTAACAGTGCACAATTCCATAATGTAACTGCAGGTTAATACATTTTTCTGACGACATTCGCTGCGCGTACGATTTTTGTTCGATAAAAATGATAAGAAGAATGAGTTTTTCTTTCACCCTATATAAATCTATATAAATCTAAGTTATCGTTCTTCCTATCCTTACTATTTTTCTTCTTTTTATATTTGATTTGCTTTGACTCTTCTCAATTATATATTTGCTGTGCTATAGCAAAAAGCATAAGTATAGATACGTGTACGATGTATAGATGTATACACAAATGGCGGCAGTGTATAAAGCTCGAGTACGTTCGCTAAACTCAAATGATTGTGTGGATCAGTTATCCCTACGAAGTCGCAGCGTTTACAGTAAAGGCAGTGAAGACTGCTATCACTTCGAATGCAGTTTATACATGCCATCTACAATTATTTATTCTACCATAAAGCCAATCTATGTCATCTACCTCTGGTTCTCTAGTATCTTGTGCATGAAAATATTTTTCCAGTTATAGTCAATATTAAAAATCTTTGCGAATCAAACGATCTTTCTTGACGCTTTAAATTGCTAACAGCGATTTAAATGAAATATTGCTGTCGAAGATATATATATATTTTACTTATTGCTGTTAAATTTATGATGAAAATTATACTCAATTTGAGTTGTCTTTAATAATTTCTATAGAAAGTCACTGCTTCTAATCAATATGTTCTTAATTTAATTAAAACATTGGAATTAAGCAATTTAACTCAAGAAAATGTACTAAATTTGATTTAAATTTAGTTTATTGTTTATTAAGTGTATACGTCAATATAAACATGTTACAAAAATAAAATTAATATATTTTTCAAAATTATTTAAAAAGTATACAATTGTAAAACTGTTTATTACCTGCAACACTGAAATACACGACACAATGTAGTAAATATTATAACGACCAGTAATCATGTTAATGTCTAAGCAGATTGTAAAGACGTAATTTTGACGTTCGCCCCCAGAATGTAGTGCAAACTATATAAGAAATTGTGATATTCTACAACACCACTATTCAATAATTTTTCCTTCTTTCTCTCTAAATTCTTTGGAGATTCACACCAAAGAATTTCGAGAGTTCCTTTATATTATTAGATGTAATTAGAAAAAGACAAATAAAGGGCAAACGAAATTACACAGTAAATTTTATGTGTTTCAGTGCGGTGGCTTTCCCTGTGTCGAGAGCGCCAATAAACGCAAGTCGCCGAGGGTGAGTAATGAAATTTTTTGCAACAAACCTAGAATATAATATTAGATAAAAGCACATACAATATTATTATTTGTAAATACAGCAGAATTAAAACAGGTTTAAAAAGATAGGATAATAAGATCTTTTCGCTTCACCGAAAATCGTCGCGTACTAATAAATTGTTGGGTGTTGCACAATAAAAAAAAAACGCGCAACCACGCGAGGCAATAAGAATTGTCGTGGGGTAAAGAGTTATTCGGTACACCGCCGAGCTCTTTTTCATTTTTCAAATGGCTGCGCCATGAAACTACGCGAACGATAAAGCCGGCAAACAGATTTCATGCACTAGCGAATATATGCTTGCCTCGCGGGACCCACCGATATATCGACTTCTCGACCGGACGTTGTAACACAACGATTTTTGTTGTTTTCACCATGACGCTACCAATTCTATTACGTGGGATGTGGGATGACCGGATTATGGCTTAATATCTCATAAGATAACCGTTATATACCGCGGATAGGTTGTATGCGCTGTTACATTCAATCAAGTGAGCTCCGAATTTGTCATTGACAAACAACAAGGCTTCCACGTACATATGCCGACTACGATCGTTAATTACGATCGTATGCATACAGACTTCGAGTCACTGTCGCATCGATGAGCTATAATAGGATTCACGTAATTCGATTATGTAATGAAGATGTCGTGAAGTCAATTCATAGGATGAAAAATATAGGATATTCGACAAAGTTTTAAATAAAATTTCCATTGGCGTATTTTACTAATTGCATTCATGAAAAATCAATAATATATATGTATATATACCGAGAAAAACAGATTATGGTTGAATTCATAAGATATGTTTCATTAAGCAAATTTTGGAGAAAGTAAATAGAATTTCTGGTTATAATCAAATATTTTGAGATGCAACCAGAACATTCATGATGCCGATTAATTTAGTTAATGCGTATGTGGTAATAATATCCCAACATATATCCGATTATTGTAACTACAAGAGAAAAAAAAACATGGATTAATGTATGTTTTTAAAGTAATTATTGGTAGAACAGAACAGAATTTTTCCGGTTATTATTAAATCGAATATTTCAACAAAAAATTGTTGACACTGTTCATACAATTAAATATAGCGGGTTACTCGTAACCAGAATATATGCAACCAAATTTATCTGGTTATTTTAATCAGAACAAACAGCCTGGTTATTACATATGTATTTCAGGTTAATTCAACCAATTTTTTTCAGTGTGTATATGCCAGTCAAACAGTAAATTTGTTCGTCTGCAACGTTCTCTCTCTGTCACGCGGCGCTTTCGGCGGAACAAATAAGCGACGCGGAACATCATTACGTCAGGGCCAAATCAGAGCAGCGCAAAGCTGGCGAAACGACGTATCGTTATTCCTTCCCTAATGCGCGCATTGTACGCCGCGTAACGCAGTTACGTATATTATACAGCGGTATGCAAACGGTACCAAGCCGTCCTCTCTATCTCTGTTATCTGCTCTCGTCTCCTTCGTATTTCGTTCCTTGTCACTACATCTCGTGGAAGTCGAGTCTCTCTTAATCATGCAGCGGTGCGTATACATCCGTGGAAATTTACGTATTACGAGCTGTTGTGCCGCAATCGCGGCATGACAACGGCAAATCCGCAGAAAGGGCAAGAAAAGGGATCGAAGAGAAAAGAGAAAAAGAAAATATATATAGAAATAGTACTAAAAATAGTACGTTTACTTTAATATAGAGATTCAGCTATAGATGTTATTTTCTTGTTTTTATATATATATATAT